CCACAGACACCGGCAGCCTTGATTTCTGTCCTTTCCTTTCCCCTGCTCTGTCCCACCTTCTGCGGCTCGGGACTTGTGGCCGTGTTTAGTTCTCACTCCTCTCTCCCTTCAGGTGAGCTGGAGCAGCAGTTGTGCCCCGAGTATCCCAACATCACCTTCTCCAGGCTGGAGTGTGGGGACCCTCCTGCCCCTGCGCTGCCTGGGGAGGAGCGGAGGTTTGGCCGCCGGTTCCTGGTGGAGGCTCCAGGGGGGCTGCAGGACTACGCCATGTTCTACGTGGGGGCCGAGGGCCTGGCCCTCACCAACTTCATGCTGACCTGGAACCGCTGCCCCTTCAGCTCCTTCGACCCCACCACGGGCTGCGGCCGCCACGAGACCCTCAATGTGAACCGGGCGCTGATGCGCCGCCTGTACCTGGTGGAGCGGGCGCGGGACGCACGTGTGGTGGGGATCCTGGTGGGCACCCTGGGCGTGGTGGGGTACCTGGCCCTGCTGCAGCGTCTCCGGGAGCTGCTGCGCCGTGCCGGGAAACGCAGCTACACCCTGGCCGTGGGGAAGCCCAACCCTGCCAAGCTGGCCAACTTCCCGGAGGTGGACATCTTTGTCCTGGTGGCCTGCGCTCAGAACTCCCTCCTGGACTCCAGTGACTTCTACCGGCCTGTTGTGACTCCCTACGAGCTGGAGCTGGCCTGTAACCCAGCCAGAGAGTGGACAGGGAGCTACCTCACAGACTTCCGAGACCTGCTGCCGGGTATCAGCTACAGACCAGCTGCCCAGTGCCCTCCAGAGTGCATCCTGCCCGGCTGCCATGCCTGTAGGGCGAGCTCCAGGATAGACATACCACCAGGCTAACATTGCTGTTTTCTGGCAGGTGCCTGTGCGCACATGGAGCTCCCACCGGCCATCCCCGCAGCGGAGGCCATTCCCGACATCTCGCTGATCACGGGAGAGATGAGAGCTGCCCACCTCTGCGAGCCCCCGGCCTCCCAGCTGCCCCCCAGCACCACCCTGGCCTGCAGGGACCAGACTCGGGCCCTCGCGGAGATCAGCCCTGCTGGTTTGTGTTGGTTTCGTGGTGGGGCCGAGCCCTGGTGCAGGGGCAGCACCGCCTCCCTGCTCCCAGTAACAATTCCCTTTCTCTCTCCTCCCAGCCTCCTTCCTGGAGTCCCGCAGCTGGCGGGGCCTGGAGCAGCAGCTGGGACAGACGCCCGTCTCCAAGGCTGTGCAGGGCCGGCGAGGGATTGCCATTGCCTACGAGGACGAAGGGTGTGAGCAACCCTGATCTGGCAGCACCATCAGCACCGAGCCAGGAGCAGGGCCCTGGGCATTGCCTGCCACTGGGTGTTAGACCCACAGGGGCCTGGACCTGCTGCCAGCTGCCCCTGTGCTGGATGCAGCCTTGGTGGGTCAGTAGTACTGCAGCAGGAGAGCAGGAGTTGCACATGTGCTTGGGAATGCCTGTGTCACCCTGAGGCTCATGGCCCAGGGCAACAGCAGAGCCAGATATGTGGCCCAGACCTGGCCTCCAAGGGATCCCTGGTCCAGGGCAGCTTTGGCCCTACATGGAAAGGTCACAGCTTTGCAAGAGCTGACAGTGCTGGGACTTTAGGCCTTTGTGGGCTGCTGCTGCTGACTGAAGCTGAACTGAAGAGGACTTGTGAGTGAACCCTTCTTTAAAATAAAACACGGCCTGAGGAGCACAAATGGGTGATACTAGCTGTTTCAGAGTGATAAAACAGATTATGGTGCCCCCTTGGGGAGCACAGCTCTGTGTACAGGCTAAAACCAGCCTGAGAGAACAGAAAACCAGAACTGGGACCCCCAGGAATGAGAGCACAGGCTGGGCTGGGGCACTAAGGCAAGGGCAGGAGGGCTCCAAGCATGAGCAAGCCTGCTTTGCTCCTGTGATGAACAGGGAATAGGGCACACACATCCTCTGCTGGTGGGAGGATCCTACATTTGGAAGGGGTGTAGTCCCCCCTCTCATGTGGGGCAGGACTGTTTCTGCTCCATGGCAGGCAGGAGAGCAGGGCAAGCAGGACAGACTGTCTTTTGCCATCCCTCCCGAAAGCCAGGGAGGTGTTGAGGCATCTCAACCTTGATTTAACCCCCTCTACTGGGCTCTTCCCCCGAGTCAAGGGGCACGCAAAGTCTGGGCACTGCAATAATGACAGCCACAACATAGAAATATTCTTAATATAATTAGGTGCAGGGCCTCCCCCCTCCCAACCACACATACAAACAAGCAGGGGGCACGTCCCCCCTGCCCAGCCAGCCACTGCTGCAGGCACGGGGCAGCCTCCCCGCCCCGGGGCACGGGCTGGGGAAGGGCTGGTAGCCCAGGTGGGGGGCAGTCCTGCCCAGGCTTCCCCTGCCCCGCCACCACCTCCTGCAGCCGGCACTCCTGTCCCCTGCGAGGAGGGAGCATGCTGGGGGAAACAAAGATGCTGACACCGAGATGCGGCCACCAAATCTAGCTGAGGAGCGTCCCGAGTGGGTTAATTCTAGGTGGAGGGTTATTCTATGAGCCGTACTGCAGCAGGGCAGGGGGTGGGGGGGCTTCCTTGTAGGGAAGAGCTGGTCCAGGCAAATTGTCCGCGGTCCTGGCCAGGTGCTCAGTAGTCTGCTGTGTACTCCGTACCGTGCAGCCCTCGGCACAACAAGGTGAACTCCTTCACCATCTCCTTCACTCGCCGCTTGTTCACACGCTCTCTGCTAAGACAGAGGGAGGGGGACAAACATGAAGCAGGAGGGATGCACCAGGCCATGCAGGGGGGTCGTTCCTACCATATGTGGGCCACAGCAACTGCGGCAAGTGGCACACGAACCTGAGGATCTGCTGGCTGAAGTTTTCCTTCTGCTCTGGAGTGACACGGGCCGAGGGGAAGCCATCCTGCTGCATGGCCTCCTTGATCCAGACGCTCAGGAGGCTGAAGCAGTGCTTGTTCAAGGCAAAGAGGATTTCTGCGAAGTGATCCATGAGGCTGCGGGAAGCCTGGCCACCAATGCCCTGCCCCAGAGCAAACAGAACATGCTGAGCCCCCGGTGTCACCCTCCCTGCTCCCACCCAGATGCTCCTGGGCTCACTGCCCCTGGCTCAGAAGGTGCTGCTCAGGAATAAAGCCCAAAGCTGCCCGGGGAGCCCGTGTTCCTGATGTCTCTCACCTCCAGCACTGCCTGCAGCAGCACTTTGCCGTTCTCGTGCACGACCTGTCCCACCGGGGCGATCTCTCCACAGCGGGGCAGCAGCTCCGTCTGCAACACAGAGCCCAGGCCTGCTCAGTGCCAGCACAAGCACCACACTGCAGCACCCCTGCCCAAACCTCAGCCCCACTCCTGCCCTCCCACCTCTCAGAAGGGGCTGCACAACGCCACGATACTCACAAAAAAGCCACAGGATGCTTTGACTGTTGGGGCCTCAGGAAACTTGAGTGAAAGGACACCTGCAGGCAAAAATCACTCAGGTTAGCAGCCAAAAAACTCCCTCACCGTTCCAAATCAGCCCTGTAGTCCCCAGCCCTGGGCTGGTTTGCACCCAGCTCCACAGGACCAGCAGGCTGGCTTCTCCTCAGAGTGATTTGGAGCACATGTCCATGCTCATGGTACTCACCACACTGAAACACTGCTTTGACATCCAGGTTGCTACACAGGAAGAGGTCTGGCTTCCTTTTCAGAGCCTGCAAGGCACACAGACAGGTAGCATGAACCCAGTGCTGTAGAGGCACCCAGGAAGCCTCCGAGGAACCCAGTGCCCCAGCCAGCCTCTGCCTGGACACACACTTACCTGGGCACACCCACAGCAAACAGCAGATTCACACACTACAGCAGGAAACCATCACTTTACCCACCCCTTCCCCCCCAAGAGAATGTCATTCAAACACCCAGGCAGCTTGCCCAGGACCTGAGGAAAGGTGCCACAGTGGTGTCCACACAAACACTCGGACACAGAGGGCTCCTGTCCCACCAGAGCAGACCAGGCAGCCGCTCCCAGGACAAGGGCAGCCATGTGGGGCTCAGCAGAGACCAGCCACCTGCGTGGTTTGCTCCTCTCCTCTTGAAGATGCTGGCATCCCTGGGGGTCACAGCAACTGGTTCAAGCAGTAGCCCCAGACGACAGTGAGATGCCAACGTTCCTTGGCAGTTCCTGAGCAGCAAGTCTGAGATCAGGAAAGCTTTGTTTTTGTTAAAGCCACACAGTGATTCCACCAGCCTCTGTGGGGGTCAGGCACTGCTGCTGGAGACACCCTGAGCTGTGGCACCTTGTGCAGTGACTTGGTGCCCCTGGTGCTGGCACTGAGCAGTTACTGGGTGGAAATGTTTCAGTCTGCACCTTCCACTCCATGGGAAGGGTTTCCAACCTGCCTCAGTGAGCCCTGCTATATCAGGCAGCCACATGCATGCCCTGACCACCATACCCTCTGCTGCAAGAAAACGCTGGGGATGGCATCCATGCCTCCTGCCCTGCTGTCACTGCAAGACCAGGACAGCAGCCACAGCACTGGAGCAGCCCTGCTCTGTGCCTGGAGCTCAGAGAGCAGGACACCAGGGCAGGCAGCTGAGCTGTGTGCGAGGCCACTGCCACCCTCCAGTCCTGCTCCCAGGGATGAAAGCAGGGAGAGCTTTCAGCCAGCAGAACACAGTCATCTGCCCCTGTGGTCTCTACTTGGCGCAAAACACACTTATTTCCCACCCCTTCTTCTACAGGGAAAATCCACAGCCATCTGCCCAGTTAAAATGCTGGAAACCAAGAAGCTGAGGAGCAGGTTTGAGGGTGACCTCATCTCCTTTCTGACCTTTTGTATCACGTACTGCAAGAGAGGACTCAGGTTTGGGCACCGAAGGCATCGCTGTACCAGGCAGAGAAGGCACAATCACAGGGAACTGCTTCCCTGCCAGAGCTCCCTGGGGCAATCAGGGGCCATGTTATACCTGTGTGTGTATATACAGGCTGTGCACCGTCCCTCCTGAAGTGCTGGCACCAACATCAGAAGGCGAGATACTGGCTGGGCAATGGTTTAGAAACACATCCACTCATTGAGGTTGCTGCTGTCCAGCTGCCCTCATACAGGACAAACACTTGCTTGTGCAAGAGATGGTGTAGTTTTAGCCATGGAGACTACCCCTGCTGGGGCCCTGCTGTGGACTCCAGAGCAGGGACCACAAACCTCTCCCTCAGTATCATGCTGCTCCAGGGCAGCTGGCTCCCGTGATACCTCCCAGCTGCAGGTTCCTCTACCCTGCCCGTCCATGGGGCTGGTTTTAACCCAAGTCCTGCATGCTGTGAGTGTTCCATTTGGCACAAGAGTCTTCCCAAGTGCTCAGGTTGCCACCTACCTGCAGCGTGCTTCTCCCAGCCAAAGCAGACCTGCCACAGGCACAGCCCCCCAGGCTCTCCTGCAGACTCACTGCAAGCACCTCCTCCTCACTCTGTCAGTGCCGTGGGGAAAAGCATGCCAGTATTGGGAGGGCTCCGTCCCATAGGACACTTTGCACGGAGTGCAAGCCCAGGGCAGACCTGGGCACATATACACATGTCTGTTGTAAAGAAAGATGCTTTTCACCCCCACAAGATGGGGCCTGTGAAGCTCCTCCCATAAGAAAGCAGAACCAGGTAGGTCCTCTTTCCTAGCACCAGGAAGCCTCCTCCAACTCTGGGACTTGCTACTGCCAGCCCATCTACCCCCTCTCCTGCCAGAGCAGCTCTGCTCACATCTTCTGGGATGGGGAGAGGTCTTTAAATCTTTTCAAAGTCCCCCCCACATCCTCTGCATGAGCAGCCACTTAAGAGATAGGCATTGGCTCTCCAACAAGAACTCTGCTGCAGGCTGGCACAGAGAGAATTTTGGGTTCTTGTCCACAGCAGCTGGGAGATCCTCACACAGGTCTTCAGAGCAGGCTCTTCTGTGCCCATCTCTTCATAGGCAGACAGGCATGGAAGGGACACCAAACCCCGTGGACAGGGGATGGGGGGGCTCCACCACCAGTTCCTGCAGCTCTCCAGAACACAGATCAAGCCATTGTGTCCGGTACGACCAACCTCTTCCCACATCACACACCTGGCACTGCAGAGCCTCCTGCTTTGAGAAGGGCACATAAGGATGGCCAGGCAGGAGCAGTCAGCCTCAGCAAGGGCATGCTGAACCCATGTCCTCCACGGGGCTCTCTGAGGCTGGCTGGAGCAGCTTTGGTGAAGAGTTCAAGGACTGATGCATGAAGCCTGGACCAGCCCAGGAAGGGAGGGAGGTGGGGGATGACGCTGGCTGTGCCTGGCCAGGCATTGCCTGCCATCACAGAAGGTCAGTTGTGCATCTTCTGCCTGGTGAGGCCCCGCTCATCCAGCCTGCCCCAGGGATCTGTCAGGGGAAGTCACCAAACTGCTCCAAAGGTCTGTACAAGCAAGGAAGGCCTGCTAGGGCAGAGCTGATGCACCTGCAGCCCTAGTGGGAAGGCAGGCTGGAGAGCACCAAAACCTACCTGCAACCAGGACACACTTAAGTGTTACCTGCTGGCCAGGGAGAGGATGAGAGCTCCCAAACACCAGAACCTGCCTGGTTTTGCCAATGCAGATTGGGCACAAGCCCCAGCCACCATGGGCTGTGTGGTCCTGGGCACTGGTGCTCTGGATGCACGGGTGGAACTGAGCCCCACAGCCCTCCAGGTGGGATGCTCCCCTCGGGCAGTGCAGCAGTGATGCTCTGCACTGA